TCCAGAAAGATCCAGAGACTGCCAGAAGTCGCTTGGTCCCAGCATCACTAAGTCTGGAAGGTGGCATAGCCCTGGAAACATTAAGATCTTTCGTCCCCACCCTAAGTGACCTCCAGTTCCCCAAGGTGTCTTCTTCAAGGACAGGCAGAGAAGCAGAATCCTGAAAAATAGTCCACCAGACCGTCAGTTCAGGAGAGAATCAGGGATTGATGGGGATGGAGTAGAATGGGGCTGGAGGTTCTGAATCAGAGGCTTTAAGACTCTCAGGTTACTATTTTGAGAAGAATTCTTCATTGGAAGATGCCATGAAGAGAGTGACCAGGCAAGCCACAGGGTGACGAGATATTTTCAATACATACGCCTGACTGAGGACTCCTGTCTGAAACACAAGAACTTCTACAAGTCAATAAGAAGACAGACACCCCACTAGAAAAATGGGCAATACTTTGGATAAGTACTTTATAAAATCAGATATCCAAGTGCCCAAAAAGCACAGGATAAAGAACGCGACTTCATTAATCACTGTGGAAATGCAAATTCAAACTGCAATGACATCCCCCGTAAGAATGGCCCAAACTATAGACGACCAAGTGCTGGGGAGGATGCGAAGTGGCAGGACTCTTGTGCACTTCTAGAGGGAATATAAATCGGTACATCCACTTTGGAAAACAGTGTGGCAGCATCTAAAACTGAACATACGGCTGTCTGACGACCCACATTTTCACTCCTAGACATACGCATGTGTGGACACCAAAAGGCATGTTCAAGAATGTTCGTAGCAGCCTCACTCATAACAGATAAAAACTGGAAACTACTGGTCTCTCAACAGAGAAGGACCCACCCCCACACAGCCCATATCCTTTGAGGACCAAATAGCTGAGTTTAAAATGAAGCACAGAGAGTTGAGTAAAGTATCAGGGAGCAGTAAGGTTTTCCCCTGGAAGCCTTTGGGTAGAAGTTTCACATAGTCTGGAAAGAATCCGATGTGCTTATATTGAAGGCAGGAATGGAGAGGGTGAATTTTCTAAGTTTTCTGGCGTGAGATTCTCTGAGTCCATGGAAATGGGAAACGAATCTGGCGCTGACTGGTTTGCCCTCGGGACCTTCTTGTCTGGAGTACACGCATTATAACCTGAGAGTCTTAGAGCCTCAGATTCAGAACCTCCAGCCGCATTCTCAATTCTTTTGAGACTCAGTTGATTGGGAGAGAGGTTAAAGCAGCGAGGAAGTAAAGCAGGAATTGATACCTTGCTGGCTCACCCCAAGATGGTAACATTTATACATTTCCTCTGTTGTTCTTTTCCCAACAGATCTCTCAATTTGAGTTGTCTCTGTTCAGCTGCAGGTCTCCAGGGTGAGGTGACAGCCCTGCAGATCTCCAGCTAAGGTAGGAGACAGGTGTGACCACAAATGGTCTAGCTTGCAAGCGCTGGAGGTGCTTTGCAGGCAGAATGGTTGAAGCCTCGGCCTCTCGCTGCTCTCATCGGGTTCCAGCAGCATGAGTGTGTGAACCCTCCCTGACCTCTCACTTCACCCCTGCAGAGTGAGACTTGTTGCACCTTCAGAGGTGTTAGTGAAACTGGCTCTCAGAGCTGAACTGGCTGCACACTGCTACTCGGGGATGGTCACTCAAGGGAAGAAGGGCTGCTGCCCGGGTCAGGGTTCTTCCTGGACCCAGGCTGACCTTGAATCAAGACTGGGATGGGCTAGGGGTGGATCAAAACCCATACTACTATTCCTCTAAGGGAGTGAGGGGCTAAAAGGAGGCAGGGAGGATAATAGGGTGGGATTCTCATCCAAAAGGGCTTGATACCCAGGGGCCCTCATTTTTTTTGTTGTTGTTTGTTTTTTTTTGTTTTGTTTTTAATCTATTTTCTACACAGTAGTTAACATTTTCAAATCTCCAACTCCCAATTTATCCCTCACCCCACCCCCCCACAACCATAAGTTTGTGTACCATGTCTGTGAGTCTATTTCTGTTTTGTAGATGCGTGCATTAGCCCTCATTACTCAGGGTCAGCTGGCAGGAGAGCATCTGTGGGGGACAATGGCTTCTGGGGGTGGGAAGATTCAGGGCCACTCCTAGGAGGTAAGAGGGGAGAGCAGCGTAGCTGGGGTTTGGGGGCAACTTCGGGCATGGAGACATGGTGTGCCCCAGAGCCCACTCACCCGAGCTTAAATCCTTGTTCTGGATAATAATCTGCTGAGATCTTGGTGAAGTTTCTAACCTCTCTGCACCTCAGGGTCCTTATCTCGAAAGTGGATAAACGATTGCACTTGCATTACTGGTTGTTAGGAAGGTTACAGGAGATAACGTGGGAAACGCTCAGACAGCGCCGTCTAGTGGAACTTTCTGTGATGATGGAGATGTTCTCTGGGCTGTCCAGTTCAGTAGTTATGAGCCACATGGAGCTACCTGTGGTTGGCTAGTGATACCGAGGAACTGAAATTTTAATTGTTTTTAATTTTACTGAATTTAAATTTAACTAGCTGCAGGTGGCTAGTGGCTACCATGGCAAATACTGCAGGCTTAGAACAATGCCTGGCAAGTGGGACGTGCTTGCTAAAGATTAGCTCTGGTTACAAGGAAAAGAGTCAGGAAGCCTTGGGCCACCAGAACTTTCCTTTTAACCTTAGCTTTTACCGGTAAGGCGCAGAGAGGTGAAGTAATTTGTGCAAAGGTACTCAGTCATAAAGCCTGCTGGGATCGGGGCCACGTCCCGAGCTGAGACTGGAGGCCAAAGGAAAGACTTGACATCATTTCTCTGGGTGAAGTCTGGAAGAGAGAACAAACTGAGGAAATTTATCAAGAGCCTAGAATTTAGGACAGGTGCTGTAAAGACTAGAAGCCCAGAGAAGGTGGAGCCAGACTGGGACTGCATCTCTGGGCCTGGCCTACAGCGGGCAGAAAACGCCAGGAGGTATCTGGTCCCCACTCTCTTCGCCTTTTCCTTCTACAGACCTGGAGGGAGCTTCAACGGGGCAATAGAAACGTTTGCATCAGGTCTGCAGCGACCCCTTGTGGCTACATGGACAACTGCCCTCAGGGGGGAGTCTGTTAATACTGAAAAGCACATCTGGATTCATCCATCAAGCTTTATGCTTTATTTTTTAGCTCTTGCTCAATGAGCAGTCCATCCCTGCCTCTGGGAGCTCAGGAGGAGACAGGCATATACTCAGGGTAGTCTTTGTGCTTCTTAAAGCATTTTTTTCATGCCTCCATTATCCTATTTTATCACACCGAATTGTATTTGTTTTACTGTCTCGCTCTAATTCCAGTCTGTGATTTTCCAGAGCCAAGGGCCAAGTCTAATTCATATTTGCGTCTCCAGACCTGGCACAGGAAGAGCTTTCAAGATACACCAAAGTATAATTTTTAGACATTCTGGAGTCAGAAAGAGCTGGGTTCTAATCCTGCTTCTGCTACTTACTAAGCAGCAGAGGGAGTGGAGGGTGACTTACTCTCACTAACCTCAGATTTTAAATCTGTAACATGGCAACAAGAACACTGATTTCTAGGATCGTGGAGAAGATTAAACTTGTGCACACACAGTATCTTGTACACTCACCCTTTTATCTTTGCAGGAGCCTTGTGGTACCAGTGCTATATGAACCTTCTCTCCCTTGAGTTTGGTCACGTGATCTCAACTGGCTCTTTCCCATGGATGCTTCTGAAGGATGCGCAAATCTCTTTCATCTTCAAACCAAACCGTTCCAGCACCCCTTCTCTGGACTCCACACTCGCCGCGAGCCCCATTCACAGTCCCTAGACTTCAAAGAGGTGTATGGCTGCCTTTCCCAGGCGGGGTTCTGAGCGCTGCGGATCTCAAATGGTTGCAGGTGTTAGAAGATATTGATCATCTCAGTCCTCAGGGGACCTGCGTGGGGCCACACTGCCAGCAGGGGGCAGCCTTGTTCAATGACCTGATGTTCCACGGAAACACAACTTCTCTATGTGCCACAAAGCGAAAAGGTCTGGGAGACGCCGGTGTGTAGTCTCCTGTCTCCATCTGCTCCCCTCTCATTCATCCCTCACCTCGCCCCAGTCTGGCTTCAGTCGCCTTCACGTCTCCAGCACATCCCATGGACAGGTTTTGGCGCACATTCTGTTTGCCTGCTGCTGATTGCTCCCTCCTTCCCTAAACCCTGGACTGACACCTCTCCTGGTTTTCCTCCGGGCTCTCTGGCCACTCCTTCCCATTCTCTGCAGGCCCTGCTCCCTCCTCCAGGGGCTTTGAAGAAGTTCCTCCGACCCCAGTCCCGAACCCTCGTCTCTTTTCACTCACAGTCTCTCGCTAAACATTCTCATCTGTGGTTGTGGTTTAAATGATCGCTTCTGATGCAGTGAACGACTCGCAGATGTGTCTTTGTAGCGCAGGCCATAACCTTGCATTTAAGACAGGAAACTGCTTACCGGAGGGCTCAGAGGTTTCTCAAGCCCAAGACTGAACCCAGCCTCTGCCTTCTACCCTGGTCCGCTTCCGGCGTTCCCCGTGTTTGTCCGCAGCACCACTCACCACCCAGCCATGCACGCCAGGAACCTGGGGTCATGACTCTGATTTGCCCCAAAATGCAAATCAGCCCAGCGAGAATGTTCCCATACCCTGACCCTTTCAGATAACAGGGATCTTGTAGGTGTGCCTGCACATGTGCTTTGTATTTCCGATGTTT